GTTTTCAATCTAATGCCCACTTACTTTCAACGCTATTGTAGAGCTTGGATCAGATGAGGTGATGGTTGGCATTACTGGGAACGCAGGTGTATCACCAGTAGTGCGTTTGTAATATCACTCATACTTCCCACACAAATGCTTGGGTTGTTGTTTGAAATGTGCGGACAAAACACCACAACAGGATGTGATATGACTTCCGCTCAGAATCGCAAACACTTAGTGAGACATCTGTTGTCAATATTTTTAATGTCTTTTTATGCGTTAAAAATGTTTAAACATTTTTTTCAGTCAAAAAAATGTTTAAACATTCAATTTTAGTTTTCAGTGCACATTTTAGCCCAAATTCATTAGAAAACAACTAAATGACAGACACTTTGAGTGGAAACCGATTCCCATTGAAGACCCGAAGCCGAAGACAGCGCCAGAGTTTGTCGATCAGAACACCGGCGGTAGTGGTAGTAGTAGTGGTGGACCTGTTGTTGGCGAAGAGGAGGACAGACAACAGGTATTGACAAACATTTTAATGGTATTTGAGTTTTAATTGTATTTTGTGTCACATTTTAGCCCAAAATCTATGCGAAGGACTCAATGGACAGATTCGGTGACGACTTGTGTGCACTCATACTGTCTTATCTGCCACTCAAACATCGGTTTCCATTGGAATGTGTGTCCAAACAGTTCCGGAGGAAAGTCTTCGACAGTGTTGTGATAATCAAAATCAGAAACCAATTGTTTGGACTGAAAGGCAATACAAGCGCTGATATCATAAAATTGTTGGAAAGAGTGGCCGAAAAGTGTCCAAACATTCAATTCATTGATTGTCAGAACCGTAAGGGAAGCGACGCTCTGGAAATGTTTCCCACAATTAGTCACAAATTCCCGCATTTGAGGGAAATTTACTGCTATTTGGTTGGAAACAGCGACCAATGGTTACCAGTGTTGGCGCCACTGATCACACGAGTGTTTGTCAATCACAACATCCAATCTCTCACTCAATGCCACCGATTGTCTCATTTAGAAGTGGTTTTCTTGAGCCATGTCTTCGACAGCACTTCCGATGAACTATTGGTGAAGAATTTACAAGACTTTAAGTTCTTGATGATAGCGAGCGCTGAAGAATACGACCGGTTGTCCCGATTCGTGGCCGGGAATCAGTCACTCAAAGAGCTTTCAATTGAAGTTCACGTGAAAACATCTTTGGCTGAAATGGCGAAACAATTGTCTCGATTACCACAACTGCGGTCATTAGGACTCAGTATAGCTCAGGGATACCGTGTGTATCAATTGGGCGACCCATTGGCCGACTCTTTGCGTACAATTGGCATGAATTGCAAACAATTGAAACGATTGTCACTCAAGTGCTGGCATTACGCGACACTCAATCCGTTGAAAGATTGGCCGCAATTAAAGCGATTGCATTTAGAGCTCTTGGAGATCAATGATTGGGAACTATTGGAACCGTTGAGACACTGCCGACGGTTAACACATTTGAGTGTATATTTGGATAAAATGGGAACCAATTATCTGTTGGATTGCGACAAACATTGGCCACGACTTCAGTACCTAAACGTTAGGCATAGAGATGGCGAGCATTCATACGAATCAGACATTGATATCAGAGACACTGATTTCGAGGAACTGTTCTCAAAGAGTCCTAAACTCAAGAACATTACAATCCGTGAAAACAAAGTCTTGTTATTTGTCATAGAGATGGCGAGCATTCATACGAATCAGACATTGATATCAGAGACACTGATTTCGAGGAACTGTTCTCAAAGAGTCCTAAACTCAAGAACATTACAATCCGTGAAAACAAAGTCTTGTTATTTGAACGCAAATAAGGTTTAAATATTAAGTGATTTGAAAATACAATTCAATTAGTTTTATGTGTTTTTAAAGCTTTTTATAATAATTTTGAAATAATTTAATAGATTCTGTGTTTTTGTCATTTTTAACATTTTCAACTAATCTCTAGTTTTTACAATTCAATTGCAATTCAATTCTTATTTCCCATAAATCCTAAACTATAACACAATGTAATTGTTTAAACATTTAATACCGTTTTCTCGGGTTTATAATTGTATCGATTTATATTAATAGAAATACAATTGATTGTAATTAAATTTTTGCAAAACAATTGCTTGTTTTAATTAATTTTATTGTTATATCAAAGTATTGTAATAATTAATTATAATTAAAATTCAATATTAAACTTTAAGGCATACATAAATGGCTACAAAACTATAATTAATGGTTTGATTCAAATTTTATAACTTTTAAATCAATCAATAGTTTTCATAAAGTATTGCAGTTTTTATTCAATCGCTGAAAGCATTAACCGTTTGGCCAACTCTTTGGGCAATTCGTCAAATGAATCCAATTTAATAATGGCTTTGAAGTTATTTTTGGCGAATTGAACGCAACTCTTCTCCAACTCGACGGATCCACTTGTGATAGACTTCTCATAGAGATTACAAACGTTAGCCAAACCAACCGCTTCGACAACCGATCCCTTCAGCACTTCTTCGCATAACTCCCGTAGAACTGATTCGCCGTAAAATGTGGCCAACTTTGAGACCTCGCGAGCGATCTTTGAGTTGATCTCTGGTTTCATTGCGTACAGGAATTGGAGGAATGCGTAGAAAGACTCGTAAGAGTAGCCATCAATTCGGATCTCTCTGCCAATTGGTTTGACAACATCTGCGACAAAATCTTTAGCGAACTCTTTGTTACGGATCTTAAGAATAGATTTGTGACAATCGATGGTCTTATCATTGAATCGGAAGACAAAATCACTGTTGGATTTATTATCAAAAGCCTTTGACAAATGAATT